AATGAGTTTGCTTCATGATTTCCAACTGATTTCTATACCAATTCACTTACCATAATTATGATCTTCCAAACGATTTCAGAATCTTAAAACAAAAGCAGACCTTCTATTACACTATAATGACAAAATACCAATGACTAGGCTAAATGTCATCAAACTTGCTCATGAATTTCATATCATGTACACAGGTCTAATTGCTTCTGATGACCAAGGGAACTCATACGAATTTTCAGATAAGCTCAGGCCCATGCTCGAAGCTTTTCAAATGTCCAGTTTAACAGTTCTAAACTATGCATCATTCAACATGTAATCTACCTTACTGAACAAATTTAATTATACATATTCTGCCACTTATATAACAGGAGACTACACTACTACTATCATTTAAAGATACAGGCTACTTTCAGTTGAATAACAGGCCTTGGAATACTTCATTTCAACTTCAATGAACATACATCATTGATATTCAGGGAGATGTACCTGGAAATTGGAATGTGACATAAAGAAAATCAGAAATGTAGGCAAATTCCCACAGATCAGCTTAACAAACTTCTAACACAGCTGAAACCCAGGATTTAGTGATAAAGTTGTGAAACTATTTCAGATCTCCATATTTTGGTGTTTTTATTTCTGAATAACCTCAGAACTGAAGTCTTAACTCAGTTTTTTTTTTAAAATGAAAGCTCAAATTAAAACTGTAAGGCTCAAGGCGGAAGAATGAGAGCAGACCCCCTTTCCCAAGGCATCTAATGCCCTTTTATAGGCAACCCCAAAGAGAATAAGCTAAATTCTGGTTTTCTAATTAGCCCCTCTCTATTTTCACTTTGGTCCCTCTATTTTTATCTTGCTAAACAAGTAACTGCAGTGTACTTATTAAGATTTACACTTGAAACCCATTCTAGAAGGTCCTAAAGCATTCCTCTACCCATACAATACCCATACTGCCCTTCCCTATACCTTGATATTACTATTCCTATCAGAACTACCCTTTTCCATACCCAGATTACCCCTGAGAGCCTTTCAGAATTACTGACCCTACCCTTATCCTTAATAACCAAAACCCAATACCCTAACCCAGTCTGAAAATAACTAAAATCAATTAGCTAACAATCAGAAACCAGCTAAGATTAATCAAATGACAATCAGAAACCAGCTAAAATTAATCAACTAACAAACAGAAACCAACTAACCAGACTGACTGCCCCAATTACGTTCAATTAACCAACTCAATCAAACTAAAAATGAAATTAAACTGAACTTAAGCCACCACGATTAACATTAAAAGAACTTAAACTAATTCTTAAACCAAAACTTATACTCATTCAACCAATTAACAAACTCAGAGTCAACAGTAATTAACAGAATCTAACTATCACAATTAAACCATAAAATTAACAGAACAATAATGAAACAACGATTGCAAATAAAATTTTAATCATGNAAGTTCCAAACAAACCCCTTTCATTGCATTTTTCAATTTTCTCTTTGCAATCTTGTATTATTATTTTTTGTATTTATTTTTCTGATTTTTACAAAGATGGGAAATTAAACTAACAATTAATCTACAACCAATTAATGCCTAGAATTAATCTTGATAACTATTTGCGACTGTCTCACAATTAAAATAATAACAACGTTAAAGTGAACTATTTTTTGTCATTTTCTTCACATCCTATTCGAAAACAAGTTAATGCCTAATTAATACTAAAGTATAAAATTAAATCCTAAATGCAAAATAAATACGTATTTTTGTATTTTGTAAAAATTAACACGCACAAAATAACAATTATCGGAAGATGACACCAAAACGCACAAAAACTGTAGAAATAAAGAAAAATTATTTTGTTTGGGATTTTGGGAATTATTCATATATAAGGCAAAAATCACGTGCTCACATCTGCTGCATGTCCTTAACTTTTGAACTTGTAACTGTAAGTTAAGGACTTCAGGACTACATGTCCTTAACTTTTGAACTTATATGTAAGATTATCATGTTCAAGATTCCTGGTATGAATTAAAGTTTATGCTTACATGTGGTATCAAGAGCCTTGATTGTTTGAACCGTTAATCTTTGTTTACTCGTATAGTATGAACGAAATCACCGTAGCTTTGATTGAAAAAAAAAATCTCTTCATCAAATATGCAAGAACATTAATATTCATGTTTTCTCTTTTCTCCAAATTTAGAGCCTTTGTCTGTGTCATATTATTTATATTAGTTGATGTTGTTGATGATACGACGAAAGAATAGTAGCTACTAAAAAATTAAAATAATGATTTTAGAGCTTATTTTCCCAAACTGTTTTGACATAATGGGGACGCTTCAGGCTGCGTCAGTTACAACGTAAGTATGTAATAGGTTTGGGAAGAAAAGCAATGGAAAAAATGGTAAAAATGTCTTCTCATATTAATTTTAATAGAGTAATGGCTATTTTTGCTCAACATTAGAATTGTTGGATAAAAAATAAATATCACCTTAAATAGTGGTTACTCCACGCCATTTCTACGTCAAACGTGAGGATAAGCCTGAACCTTGAGATTCAGTTGTTTTTTGCTGAATGAGGATGCATATATCCGACCCCTACTTATTTGGATTGAGGCGTAGTTGTAATTGGGAGCTATACTTGGAAGATTTTTGTCATATCTTAAGTTCATGCGCCAAGCCAAATCATGTCTAATGTGAAAACAACTACTATTAGGATTCATTTTAAACCTGTCCCATCAGGCATGCCAAAGAATCGTGCCTAGGGCTAGTTTTTATATATATCAAAGCCAAAAAACAAAGTGTTGACAAGTCTTACAAAATGTAAAAGCATAGCTAGTGAAAGTACATCGATCCTACTATCAAAATTGAGCAGGGTACTCGACATTGATATTACATTTAGAACAAGAGAATAACTATGCAAATGGATAATAAAATCTAGCCAAATGATAATGAAGTAAATTGAATCCCAAAGTGTGCTCCAAGCATTGTAGAATTGTCCAGTCATCGTGCTGCCTACTGGAGAATTGCACCTCCTAGCCACTCGACCAAATTGGTTCATTTGATATATGAAATGTAGATGAATACCTGGTCTAACAATCCAGAAGCCTAAACCATACGTATAAGCAGTTTCATTCTCTGTCCAGATTTTGTAGTCCATGTTGGTCATGCGATTTGTCATCCAATTTTTGCGTGTGAGCCTTACACGAAGCCATGTAAACCATACAACTGCACCTTCCTCATTTATCATAAATGATGTAGGTGCTTTGTATTCTCTTCCAATTGAGATCAAACATCCTGCAAAGTCAAGTGGAAACCCATGCCTCAATTTGTTGAAACTGGGCAGTACGTGCTTCATGCGGGTATCTTCAGGTATTGTGCATTGTGTAGCACTGTTGTTGACTTCTTCAAACATTTTGAATGAGCTAAAGGAGCAGTGGCCATGAGTACATATCTTCCAAGTATGATTTTCAGAGATAAGAAGTCCTAGCAGCTCCTTTTGATCCTTGCTTTTCAAACTTTTGCCCACCTCTGACATCCCTTCAATGGAATGAGCACAAAGTGCTAATACCACACATTGAAGATCTGCCAAAGGATAGTGCATGTATTGTCATGGCCCCAATTTTTCTCCGTGGGATATCGTGACGGCACCTATTCTCTAAGACTAGGTAAGCCTAACAAACATGCGGAATAACTGAAATAATAATCTAAAAGCTCAAAACATCAACAACTGTATGAAGTAAAAACTACAACTCAACATGTGCAACTCCCAAAACCCGGTGAAGTATAAGTCACAAGCTCTAGATACAATGTTGAACAGTCCTATACATCACACTCTATCAAGAAACATAAAGAAACAAGGAAGAATAGGATAGAAGGGGACTCCGAGGCCTGCGGACGTCGGCAGGTGTACCCTGAAATCTCTGATAGGCAAGTCACTCAACGCGCTAACACCGAGGTTGATAAGATGTACCTGGATCTGCAAAAAACATGTGCAGAAGCATAGTATGAGTACACCACAACGGTACCCAGTAAGTGTCAAGCCTAACCTCGGTAGAGTAGTGGCGAGGTCAGGTCAGGGCCCTACCAGATGTAATAAGAAACAAGGCAGAAGATATAATAATATAATAAAAATGACAGGGAAGTGAAACATTAAAAAGTTTATGGAAAGTAACAACCGGAAATCAAAGGAAACAAATACAACACGAAAGGAAACAAGAATCTTACATGTTAAAGAAAACAATAAGAAACAATACAGCAAATAGAGAAGATCAACAGGGACATTCCCGCGGTATCGCCTCGTAGTCCCAATCATAAAATAACTCAAAGCCTTTCCTTATATCACCTTGGGAGCCTTTATATGTTGTTTTGAAAATCTTTTCCTCGAAATAGCATCCCGCGTTTTAGCCGACCTTATCACGCCGCATGGCTTCTAGTAGTTCCCCTACTAGCCACGCATATCAAGCCCACCTTATCTCACCGCATGCGTTTCAACACCCAGATCTTATACTACCGCATGCGTATCAATAATCATAACGGCACGGCAGAAACCTCGTGCAAAATATAACAACCGCACGGCAGAAACCTTGTACAACAATAACAATATCACGGCAGAAACCTCGTGCAAACAACCAAACATCACCTCAACAATAACACGAGAACCAAAACACAACAACTAAATAAAATAAAGTTTCACAATTTACACCTTGCCTCAACAAAAACCACGACCTTGGTAACTCAACACCAAACTCAACAACAAGATATTTTAAAGATAGCAATTTCAAGTAAAGAATTACACGGTTAAGTAAGGAATTCAGAATCACGGAAGCAAGTGGTTCAACTAAGCATGTAATACAAGTTGCAAGTAAGAGATAAGACAAGTAGACATGTGAAATTAGGCTAAACATGATGACTATAACATGCTAAAGTAACTCAATTAAGGAATGAAAAGAAACTACCTAGCTAGAACCGAAATTTCAACATTTAGCCCATGCACGTACTCGTCACCTTGCGTACACGGCCTCCACATGTCACAAATTATCACAACAGTACCAAATCCCAAGGGGAATTTCCCCCACACAAGGTTAGACAAGTCACTTACCTCAAACCAAGCTCAATCAATCAATTAGAAGGCCCTTCCCTCGATTTTTCAACTCCGAACGGCTCGAATCTAGCCAAAACAATTTCATACTATAAATATAACTATAGGAAACTAGTTTAAATAATGAAATTATGATTTTAGCAAAGAATGGAAAAATCGCCCCAAAAAGTCAACCCGGGACCGCGTCTTGGAACCCGACCAAAATTATAAAAATTGAATACCCATTCGATATCGAGTCCAACCATACAAGAATTATTCAAATTCGATCCCATTTCACCTTTGAAAACTCAAGAATTTAGTCTAAGAACTTCTACACATTTTCCCTAATTATGAACTCCAAAACACAAATTAGAAGATAGAATTAACAGTAGATTCATGGGGTTTAGAAAAAAACGAGTAAAAAATCTTTACCCTAAAATATCCTCTGAAAATCCCTCAAAATCTTGCCTCAATCCGATCTCTCAAAGTCTCAAAAATGAAAATGAAGCAAACCCTCGAAAAATTCCATTTTCTGTCCAGTTATGTCGCATCTGAGACCTTACTTCCGCATATGTGGCTCCGCACTTGCGAAAAAATCATCGCATGTGTGGCCCTCATTTAGGTACTTAAAGCTTGCTTCTGCGCACGCCCCAAGCACACATGCGCTTGTGCTTCTACGGATGAAGTGTCGCACCTGCAACCACAATCGCTCTAGCGCTTCTCCTCACTGCAGAAGCGAAGCCGCTTCTGCGGATCCTTTTTCGCACTTGCGAGTAATGGCCTGGGATGCCTCCTCCGCTTCAGCTCTCCCTCACACGCACATCCGAGTCCGCACCTGCGGTCATATCCTCCGCAGGTGCGATGACACCAGAAGCTGTGATTTTTCAAAAAATGCACAAGTCCAACAAGTGATCCGATATCGATTTGAATCACACCCAGGGCCCCCGAGACCCCGTCCGAGTATCCCAAATAGTTACAAAATACCTAATGGACCTACTGGAGGCAAAAAATTACATCAAACAACATGAATTCAATAAATCGCAACCCACATTCAAGCTTAAGCAACTATGAACTTCCAAATTCCGGAACCAACGCCGATTCATACCAAAACAACTCCAATTGGTACCAAATTTTGCACACAAGTTATAATTGACATTACAGACCTATTTTAACTTCCGAAATCAAAATCCGACACCGATATCAAAAACTTCACTCCCGGTCAAACTTCCCAAAATTCCACCAATTTTCCAACTTTCGCCAACTCACACCGAAATGACCTACAGACCTCTAAATCAACGTCCGAACACGCTCCTAAGACCGAAATCACCATACGCATCTATTAGAACCATCAAAACTCTATTACGGAGTCGTCTTCACATAAGTCAAACTACATAAACTCCTACGACTTAAACTCCCACTTTAGGGACTATGTGTCCCATAACACTCCAAAACTCTCCCAAAACCAAAACCAAATACCCTGGCAAGTCCCATAACCACAAAAATAAAATAGAGAGAGCGGTAAATAGGGGATCAGGGCTAATATACTCAAAATGAACGGCCGGGTCGTTACATGTATACAGTAGATTTTCATGCAAAAAAGAACATAGAGTTACTAATAAAAAGGACCACCATGCTCTCCTCCATAAGGACTTGAGCATGATGTTAATTTGCTCCCCCTTCCTTGTACTCCATCCTCCATCTAGTGATCACATCCATGAAAATTAGCTCATAGCAACCTTTATTCGTAGATATGCGCATTGTAGTTTATCACTATTCATAATCTTCTATCTTGTGCCTCCAATTTATCAAAACTGTGTGCTTTAATATAGCCATTATCAAGGGCATAATTAGCTAAGTAATCAACCAACTTATTGCCCTCTCCCATGGAATGTGAGACCCTAACATTACACCTCTCCATTATACCTTTGATCTCCTCAACATATGCAACCACTGCCCAAGGTGCAATCCATGTGCCCTCTACTATATTCTTCAATAACATGGAATTAGTTTGCACCAAAATATGTATGTACCAAGCTGCACACAATATCTCAATGCCTCCAGTATAGTAACAACTTCCATGTTAGTAACCTCCTGTATTTCCTTACCTAGTGCAAACCTAACATCTCCTTCTTTATCCCTTAATACAAACCAAATCGAGCTCCTGCTTGGTTTTCCCCTTGATGCCTCATCAGTATTGACTTTTATCCGGCCTTGAGTAGGAAGATCCCAAAACACCAATGTCACTTTCAACTGTGAAGTATAAATCTCTAGCGTATGCAATAAATCTGGCAACTTGTGTGGAACATTTTGTAGGCTTGACTTCCTTACTTTGACCAATGCTTGGAGTGTAGATGACACTTGATAGATCACTTTGTTGACTGAGACAACTTCCCCATGCTTATAGCTATTTCTTCTCTTCCAAAGCTCCCATAAAATGATGGAAGAAAGTGCCTGGAAAATAGGTTTTAGCCTAGAAACAACCTAGGCAGTCCAACATATAATTACTGCCTGCTGCAAAGATAAGCCATCCATTGACATGCCTGCATTTGAAAGAAAATAGTACCACACTGTATGAGTTGCATAGGATTTGTAGAATACCTGAGCCAATATCATCCGGATTAAGGCAACACTAACATCTAGAAGATATACAATATCCCATTCTCCAAAATGTATCATCAAGAGGTAGCTTGCCTTTCAAGATCTTCCACATAAAGAAAGCTATCTTAAAAGGCAAACCCTTCGCCCATATATTTTTATATGCAATGCTAGAGTCTTCTTCTCCTAAGATATTCCCAGGCATATTTGATAGTAAAATTACCCCTGGCCTCCAACATCTAAAAAGGTCTATCAAAATCTTCATGTAGCACTAGAGGCTTGACATTCTCAATAACATGTAGTGCCAAATCATAAGGAAGAATGTCCATCAATATGTTCTCATCCCAGACTCCCCCCTGTACCACCTTATAAACATTGTGAATAGATACATCACAATAAAAGTCATGTGGAGTAATGAAATACAAGGCCCCTAAATCTGTCTAATTGTTAAACCAAAATAAGGAAGATCCCATTCTTGGTTGCCATATTATTTGATGCTCAATGTCATCTCTACATTCCAACATCTTCTTCCAAACATGAGATCCGTCTTTACATGGTACCATCATAGCATTTAATTTCTTGCAATATTTCTGACTAATGAAATAACTCCATAAGGTAGGTTTAGTTCTAAAGTTTCACCAAAAAGTTTACAAAACAATGCTTTGGAGACATCATGAATTGATCTAAACCCTACCTCTCCTTCTTCACATGGTTGGCATAATGTGTCCCAAGAAGTCCAATGCCTACTCTTTCCTCCAACTGATTTACTCCAGAAAAATTGTGCAAACATTTTGTGCATCTTGTTAATAACAAAAGAGGAAATTAAGATTCACAGCTGACAACAAATGTATTGGTATACTTTAAAAAATATGTGATATCAAAATTGTCCGACCACCAATAGAGAGTAATTTACCTTTCCACAATTGAAGTTTGTCAAGCACCTTGTTGATGAGACCATGATATTAGTCCACTCTCGTCCTTGCATAAAAAATGGGGCAGCCTAGATAGGTGAAAGGAAATTCCTGCCTACCTACTCCAGTAATCCTTTGAACCTTGTTCACCACTTTAATACTTATAGAATGATGCATGTATACTGTTGATTTGACCTTATTAATTAACTTTCCAGAAGCCATTTCATAAGCATTCAAAACCTCCATGATCAATTATAGTGAAGTTGCATCTTATGAAAAAAATATTATGACATCATAAGCATAAGCAAGATGATTGATCTTTGGATTCCATTTTGATAAACCAAATCCACAAAAGTATAGATTCAAATCTAGAGCATTCAATTCCCTTGACATAGCCTCTGCAACTAGAATGAACAATGTAGGTGACAAATGATCACCTTACTTGACTCCTCTAATGGATTTAAAAAATCCATAAGGCTGGCCATTGATCAACACAGAATACTAATTATTTGAACTATACCATACATTGTCCGAATAAATCTGTCACAGAAACCTATCTTCCCCGACACCTTAGTCATGAATAACCAAGAAAGCTTGTCATATGCTTTGTCATGTCTAATTTGATCACAATATAGGTCCAGCCTTTGTCCTTAGCCTAATGTCAGTAATTATTTCTTGTGTCAATAATACATTTTCAACAATATTCCTACTTTTGGCAAATCTATCTTGTTCATCTGAGATACGTGTAGGCAGTAAATTGACTAACCTTTCATGAATAACTCTAGAGAACACCTTATTGATGAAATTGCGAAGACTTACAGGCCTCATATCTGAAATGTGATCACTTCCTTTTTCTTAGGCAAAAGTACTAAGTTTGTGTGAGTCACAAACTTAGGTAACTCCTGTCCATTGAATAAATCCATCACCACAGAAAAAATATCACCTCCTATGATCTCCCAACAACAATAAAAGAACTTACCAGTGAAGCCATCAGGTCCTCCAGCACTATTTCCATTTTGACCAAAAACAACATACTTGATTTCTGATTTTGTAGGTTGTCTCACAAGGTCTTGATTGTTCTCCATAGTAACCATGCTAGGGACATGGTCAATAATCCCAAAAACATTAGGGACACTATTTTCATGAAATTGAGCTTGAAAGAACTTTACTTCCTCCTCTACTATTGGGTCATTGCCCTCAATCCAGTTGCCTTCACTATTTTGAATCCTCTTTAATTGTAATCTTCTTCGCCTCCCATTAACCTGAGCATGAATGAGTCTTGTGTTTCCATCCCCATCCTTAAACCATGTCATTCTTGATTTCTGCTTCCAGAATTCTTCCTCAAGTGTTTAAGTACCTGATGAGATTTGCCTGTACTTTTTGGAGCCTTTCTCTATTGAGCTGAGTAGGATTGAGTTCAAACTGAGCTTTATGCACCAATACCACCTCTTCCAAACTAGCAACCTTCTGAAAAATATTCTCATAAGTAGCTTTACTCCACACTAAAAGAGCTCTCTTTAACTTCTTCAATTTGTGATTGAAAATAATGAAAGGATTAGCACTGAAGTCAACATGCCAAGTTTCCTTCACAACATCTTGAAAAGTAGCATGATCTAGAAGTTAAGGAAGTTATTGTTGTTTAGGTAATTTTATTTATTGCAAAAGAACATTAAGAAATTGGTATCCATTGGTTCGATGGTAAGCATGCCCGTTTGTTAAGTTAAAATAGAGCCGATTCAATTTTGGAACCTCCTAATGCCATCAGCGACATTTGCATGAATCAGTCTGCTGAAATCTCAGATGTTACTGAGAACAAAGTTCAAACACCTTCCGTGCACCAAGTCCATCCGCTACATCTCCCACCTCTCGCGCAAGCCCCGCCACCGCAACTCCATTCCACTGTCACAGCAACAAGACCCTCATGCCCTCCTCAAGGAAGACCCAGTCGAAATCCTCTCTAATCTCTGGATCAAAACTTTCTCTCAACCCCAAAACCTATTCACTAACATTACCGGTTTTCTCTCAAAGCTCGATCTCTGGGTCCTCGCTTACCAACGCACCTATGCTCATTTCACTGGCTCTTTCCCACCCCGCAACGCTCTCCACTCCCACGTCTTATCCGACCTCTCATCCCTCCGGAATACTGTTATCCACGGAAAATTCCTTTGGAACGCAAAAACCCACCAATTGATTCGCGGCCCTAATGAAAAACCCATTACGGAACAGCTCTCTAGGCGCCAGCTTCACAATATACTGACTTCTAAAACGCCGCCGTTTCAGGACACTGTGGTACAACAAGTTTTACTCATGATTCTTGAACCCATTTTTGAGCCTAGGTTTTCATCAAAGTCCCATGCTTTTCGTCCCGGTAGGAATCCGCATACTGTTGTTAGGACCATCAGAAGTAACTTTGCTGGTTATTTGTGGTTCTTGAAAGGAGATATTAGTGAGGTTTTTGATGATGTTGATGTTAATGTTGTTATGGGTAGTCTTGAAAAAGCTGTGAAGGATAAGAAAGTGTTGAACTTGATCAAATCAGGATTGAGAGCTCCCGTGAGGAGCCGATTAGGAGAGGAGGAAGACGAAGAAGAGAAGAATAGTAAGAAAAGAAAGCAAGGTCGGACGAAAAAGAGGATTTTGAATGAGAATGACCGTAAGCCAGACCCTTATTGGTTAAGGACATTCTTTGATTTTGCTCCACAGGAGGCTGCTAAGATACCCAATTATGGTTGTTGTGGAATTCTTAGTCCTTTGCTAGCTAATGTGTTTCTTAGTGAGCTCGATCATATGATGGAACAAAAAATAGTTGAGTTTTTTAGGCCTTGTGAGCGAGATGCGATATGGAAATATTCTATGGATGATGGTTGTCATAATCCTGCTTGGCCTGAGTTTGTTCCTTCAAGTGGGAAAGAGAAGACACGGAAGATGGATTTTATTAGGTTTGGTGGTCATTTCTTGGTTGGAATTCGAGGGCCTAGACAGGATGCGGTGGAAATGAGGAAAGAGATAATCGAATTTTGTGAGAGGATATTTGGGGTTAGATTGGACAATTCAAAAATAGAGGTGGAGCATATTAGTAGGGGAATTCAGTTCTTGGATCATATTATTTGCCGTCGTGTAATTTATCCGACTCTACGTTACACAGCGAGTGGTGGTAATATAGTGAGTGAAAAAGGTATAGGGACTTTGCTCTCTGTCGCTGCTAGCTTGCAACAATGTATTCGCCAGTTTCGGAAGCTCAAGCTTGTGAAAGGTGATAGGGATCCGGAGCCACTGCCTTGCACACCAATGCTTTACTCAGGTCAAGCTCATACTAATTCTCAAATGAATAAATTTCTTGAGACAATGGCTGAGTGGTTCAGATATGCTGATAATCGGAGAAAAGTTGTTGGGTTTTGTGCTTATGTGGTTCGTAGCTCTCTGGCTAAGTTATATGCTGCCAGGTATAGACTGAAATCTCGTGCCAAGGTTTATAAGATTGCCTCGCGTGATTTAAGCCGTCCATTGAGGGAGCACACCAACAATTCTGCACCTGAGTATTCAGATCTTTTGAGGATGGGACTTGTTGATGCTATTGAAGGTGTTCAGTTTTCCCGCACGTCTTCAATCCCATCATGTGATTATACTCCGTTCCCAAGGAACTGGATCCCTGACCATGAGAAGGTGTTGTGTGAATATATCAACTTACAGGATCCTAAGTTTTTCTGCCAGCTGCACAAGTCAGTTAAACAGCACGGTATATGTTTGCCTCAAGATGAGATATCTGATATTGTGTGGGAATATAAGACTCTTGGGGTGCGAAGCTTGTCACAGAGGTTATGTGGTGACAAGGGGATGGAAAATGCTTCTCAGGAAGTAATGGCGGCATCATGAACCTGGCATGAGATATGCAAGTTAATCAATAGATGTTGCTATTGGTGGTGCCAACTGGCTTCTTATTTTAAGAAACTAGATGATCCATGTCTATCTTGTGATTGATAATTTTAGAGCTAGAAGTTGATCTTATATAACTATCCTGGAGAGCAGATTAAGCTTGATTACAGTGAGCAGATTCCTTTATGAAATAAAAACTCAAAAACATTCATGTGATGGACTTGGATAGGTATGAGGGAAGAAAGAAGTTACATTTTCTGAAATTTTTTGGTCAAGACAGATTTATGAGATCATTGTTTAGTAAGTCTATTGTAAAATTGCTAATTCATGTTGTTGAGACTTGAGTGGAATAGCTGCTTTGAAAATGCATCTATAAGTTGGATGAGTTTATGAAATGAATATATTGTTGACACATGGCAGATGTGCTTTTAGCTTCAGACTCAAGCCCTAGCCATCTCACACTCCCTACCACAGGAAGAATAGCTTCTTTTGAAACGTATCTATAAGTTGGATGAGTTTCATCAGGGACATGCATTCTCAACACTTGAGAGATCTGCTTTTATCCTCCCCCATGGATACTCTGTGATCTGCTGCAGTGGAATGAAGCAGAGCATGAATATCCTACCAAGCTGAATTAACGTTATGGAGTTCTTGTGACTGATGGCTCAGAAGTTATGCTGAAATAAATGAAGCCAACAAAAATAAAAGTTGCATTGCCTAGACATTTCCTGCAGCAGAAAAAAAGTTCATCTTCAGCTTGAAATGCCCATAATATAGTAAAGGGAGAGCTTAAGGGTTGCCTACACATTTTCTGCACAAGGATGATTAGCATAGCTTTGTAGAAATGATTCTGTAAACAACGATTCCTCGCTCTTCACTTTGGTAAGCTCCTCATTGACATCATTAGTAATTTCCTTACTCTGCTCATTGATAACATCTTGCTCTATTTGCCAAAGTTCGTATCTTGGCTTCTTTTACTTGAACTAAACTAAACCTGGGTTGTGTGGCATAGGAGTATGCATCTGCCATTACGCAATTGGCCTTTTTGGAGTAAGAATTTTGCAAAAAATGTTAGGTCTTTCCTATGGGTAGCTCCTCCATGATGAAATGTGACTTTTCTGACCATTGTTAAGCTATGCTGCTTGGACCCTTCAAAATCCACGCCGCACCCGTTTCGATCCGACACTATTTGGGTGTGGGTATGGATCCACATGGAAATTTGGTCAACTTACCTAGGGTGCTTTTGGCTACATCTCTGACCAAGAAGTGTGTATATATATATATATATATATATATATATATATATATATATATATATATATATATACATACACACACACCTAGTGCACGAACTATCCCGTGTTCACACGGGGTTCGGGAAGGGCTGGAACCCCAAGGTGGTGTGATGTAGGCAACCTACCCTGATGCAAGTATTAGTGGCT